TACTGACAAAGCAGTGACAGTTCAATGAATCTGAGAAACAGGGAAAGAAGATGTCTTACCACTTCACTGATCTTTACAGTTTACATAAGACTTCCGCAGCCATCAATCAGTCATTTTAGGGTTCATTTAAATAGGTTTCCTTAAGAATTTGAAGTAACTTCAATCAGTGACTTAAAGGCCCTTAAAATCACCTTACATGAACAAATTCATTGTGCATAGCGGACAACAAAACCAGAATCATCCGTTAGAAAATTAAAACATAATTCTTAACTTACACTAAATCCTGAAAACGCATCATCACAAAGCAGGGCCCTGGTAGCGTAGTGGGTTACCTATTGGGCTGCAGTTGAAATCCACTAGCCACTCTGAGAGAGAAAGAGGAGGGTTTTGCTTCCATAAAGATTCCGTCTCAGAAACCCTATACAGGGTCTGTGTGTGTCGGGATGGACTTGGTGGCATGCAGCATCAGCAGCAAACAGGTGAGCAGAGCCAAACAAGCCAAACCTCCTACCTCTGGATGAGGCCCTCATTAGTTGTTCTCACACAGAGACAGAGAGGGGCGAAACAGTACAGAAACGCACCATGCCTGACCGCCATGTGCTGCCTTCCGTCTCTTCCCATCTGCCATGTTTACCTTTCATTAAGGAGACCAAGACCCCAAAGCAAGCAGACCCAAACTGGGGAAAGTCTGTAGTTCCCCCCCCCCCCCCCCCATAGATTTGGAACGATTTGTAATCAGGGTCAACTGATTCCAGTTATCTTTCAGGGCTTGCTACAAGCATACCTCTTTTTGAGCAAACTTCCTGGATTCCTTCTAAGAAGATGCAAGCAGATGCCTCTCAGGGGCATGGGATGTTCCCCCCAAGCTCTACAAACATACTTTTCCCAGGAAACCTAGTAATTAGTTGTCGTTGTTTTATGATTACTTTTGTGTTGTAGTCAAGTTGGCTCCCACTCACAGCGACCTTGAATAGGGTTTCCAAAGAGTGGCTGGTAAGTTTGAAAAGCCAACCTTGCAGTTCATACCGACTTTGCCATCCAGGGCATTACCCTGCAGTGCTGCACCAGGATTACTTTAGCTCTCAGAATACTGTGCCCAGGAAAACATGCATGTCTGTCAGTTATTTTGTACAGCTTTCAGTCTTTCTCTAGACTTCAGAGACTGACTTGAAACTTCTCATCAGGGAGTCTGCCACGGAAGCCCTGACAATGCGTTTCCTTTGTGGTGGAGTGAGTAAGGACAGAGCAGCGAGGGCCACAACTGATCCTGCATTTTCCAGCCAGAGACCCTCCTGAGCTGGAAACGTCCCTGAAGGTGGTCTAGACTCATTTCTCCTGTTGTCTGTCCCCCTGCCCCCCTGCTTAAAACCTCCTAGACAAAAATCCAATGACTAGCAATGTCACCAAGAGCTCCAATTCTAACTTTCTTCTTCCTGTCCCTGCTCCCTAAGCACTGGGAGAAAGAAAAGGTTGTCCGTGCGCCCACAGAGATTCAGTCTCACAATCTCTAAGGAAGAGTTCTCCTCTGTCCTGCAGGGTGACTGTGAGTCACAATCCGTGGGTTGGCGGGTGAGTTTTTTGGGTTAGGTATCAGTGTACCTCCATTCAGGGACTCATTTTAAAAAGAACGACCAAGCACATCTGTCCTAGACAAAAGACCGATGGACTCAAGTCTAGGACTCTAATATAATCCTATCTGTCAAGCATACGGAATCCACACACAGAGATACACAATTAGAACCCTGAGGAAGAAGACTCCAAGTCTCCCTGGAGTAATCAGGGAGCCATGGCTCTCGCTGCACTAGCTTCAGTTCCTGTCTGTGGTCTGTCTCCCTGACAGGAATGGACACTCCGTGAGGGAGGGACTTTGGCTGGTTCACAGGGTGTGCACACAGCAGCTACTCAATACAAGTCTGTGGTGTGAATCAATGTAAAATCTGCCTCGTGGGGCTTGCTGGGGTTAAGTAAGACCTCAACTGGCAGAAAAGCAGTTACATAGCAAATAACAGGAGGTTAGCCTCTCGACTGGCCAGGCCAATACAGATCAGCTGTGGGGGTGCATAGGCAAAATTCAGAAGGGCCCAGGAACCGCAGGGCCTCTGGCCAGCCCACCTGGGCAGCATTTCCAGATTCAGGTAGGAAAACGGCCTCAGGGTTGAGTAATACAACAAACCAGACAAAGTTCTTGCGAGAAGCATGAAATCGCAGCCTACGGACTCAGTGTCCTATACTATTGGATGGTCGGGCTGGGAGGAGGGTACACTTTAAGTCTTAGTGGAGCATGTCAGCACCCACACTGAGCCGTCCACGGGGAACCAGCAGTAGAGGGTCACTAAGGGTTAGGAAGGATCTGTCAGATACTGGTGCCGTATCATCAAACAGCCCTGGGGTGCCAACTGATCAGCTCTGCCAGTATCCGTTCATTACCAGAGCAATCGAGCCTGTACATGGGTTCTGAAACTGTGAATCTTCCCAGGAACACACAGCCTCATCTTTCACCTGTGGAGAGGCTGACATGCTGGAACCACTGACCTTGCAGTTAGCAGTCAGAGTTATGATGTTATAGTTGTAAGGTGCCTTCAAGTCACTTCCCACTCATAGCAATCCTATGTGCAACTGAAGGCAAAACCCTGCCTGGTCCTGCACCCTCCTCACAACTGGTCTTGTTTGAGCCCACTGTTGCAGCTACTGTGTTAATCCATCTCATTGGGGGTCTTCCTCTTTTTCATTTACACCCTTTACTTTGCCAAGCATAATATCCTTTTCCTGGGACTGGTCCCTCCTGATGACATGTCATGATGATATCACCAAAGTGATGTTGTTGCTATGGGCTGTCGAGTCGACTCCGACTCACAGCAACCCTGTATAGGGTTTCCGAAAAGCAGCTGTTGAGCCTGGCATGTGTGAAATACATTCATGTGATGAGCTTACAAAAACATGTAAGGACTGAAGCCATGTCCCAGCTGAGGGACAGCTAGAACAAAGTCCAGTGGTAAGAAAGCATGGTGGCCTAGCTACCAAGTGGATGTGGCCTAAAAGCATTGTAGGAGAGCAGGAAGAGACAGCAGAGAATGACTGAGCTCAGGAGCCTAACCTTCCATCTGAAAGACAAAAATTTCTCATGGAAAGTTCCTAAAAAAGCAAGTCTTAGAAGAAGCTTCGTCAGGAGTGGACCAGGGAAAGCACCTTGCAAGGAGGATCAGCCATGAGTCAGGGAAGGCACCCAGAGCCTCTCTCTCTGACAGGGAGCAGCAACCCGAGGAGGGACACAGGTAATTCAGCACTGCCAAGGGCACAAGTATGAAGTCAGTCAAAAAGCACAAAATCCTTCACTGAAGAAAATTATCACCGTCTCTGCCATCTAGGTCTACACTTTCCTGAAGGCAGTACTCCCAGCTCTAACCCTCCCCAAGAATCCTGTGCCCTTCCAATGATACCTCCTCATAACAGCAATTTTGCTCTCCTCGGGGGTTTCAATTTCTTTCAAACGTTGAGTCTAGGAAATCAAAAGAAGTCTGAAGAGATAAGATCAGGGCTGGAGAGTGAATGAGGCAAGGTTTCCCAATGAAACTGTATTAGGACAACCCTGGTGCCCTTGAAGAATAAGCAGGTGCTTTGCCATGATGGCAAAAAAAATTCCTCGGCACAACCTTCCTGGTCTTTTTCTCACCAGTGTAGTTTTCAGGTTTTAAAGCTTCTTCATAATGAGCACCCTTCATGAATCTCTACCAAGATGACCCCTGTGGAAACCCAAAGGGCAGCTGCCATAACCTTCTGAGCTGACCTTTCTCTCTGCCTTGAACTGAACTGACCCAGCAGATCCCCACACAAGCCACTGTCTGACTGGACCTTGTTTTTTGAGGTAACAAATGTAACAGTGAAAGAACTTGTTTGCAGCCACTCACAAACACTGAGGCATGCGTAAACAGCTTGTTTGGAATCAACTTACGGACATAAGAACAGAAACCCTACTAGGAGTACTTTCTGACTTACCCTTGTACAAGCACAGATGGAAAAGGGGTTTTGAGATATTTGTGTACAATTAAAAAATAAATAAGCCATCACGTTTCACTGCAGGTTGCTAAAAAAGAACGCAGCCATCCATTAGGCAAAGGCACAAAACTAAATGTCAGGAAAAAGTGACTCAAAATCGAGAGAGAGGAATTCCATGTTTTCTAAGTTAGGCTGTTCCAGATATGCAACATACTGCACATACACATATACACTCAAGATCAATTTATACATATGTATGTACAGAAGAGACTGTTCTAGAAATGTAACAGACTGTACACTCACGTATATTCCCAAGATCACTTTAAGTATGTGTGCCTATGTGTACACAGAGGGCTTCAAGAAGTTCATAGAAAACTTCTATCATCTTTCATCCCATTTTTCTATGAACTTTTTAAAGTCCCCTCCTACAAATGTGTATGCACTAGACACATTAAGATACCAAACTGGGGTCAATGAAATATGCTTTTTCTTGCAAACATATAAAAAAAATTACAACATACCGATCGCACCAGCAAATAGGTAAGATAATGCTGACTACCAGTACTGCAGCTACATTTTGTAAAATACAATATTCAAACACCATTTCACATCAATTGTGACTAAGACAGTAGAACAATTCACATTTCCTGAACTTCAAAAATACAGTAAATATCCAAAGTATATGCTTAAATGCTGTTGCATTGTGAAGATAAATTATAACAGCAACTTTGGAGCAAGAACGCTCATTTGATATATGTATTACATGACATTCAAACAGAAAACATGATTCAGAATTCTATTACGATGTAGTGCATAATCACATTAGATTAAATACATACACACTCGTTGAAACTCTGTGAGCCTTATTTAAAACTATTCAGTGACAGAAAATTCGAAGAGCCAACGGTTTTACTCTCATGAACTATTGTAGCATAGACGCAATCAGAAAGAGTGAACATCTATCACAGCCTTTAGGTGCATGTGAGGTTTGGCTCCCATGGTCTTACCGGACATGGAAACAGCATGGGTCCGCACGCCCTGCTTCTCGCTGTTGGCAAGCCTGTAACAGAGTGGGAGGAGTGCATGAGTGCTATGCGTTGGCCTGGACAGCTGGGCACCCACTCCCCTGGAAAAGCTGGAGTCAGAGCATTAGGCCACTTCCCACACAACTAACTGAACTTGAGAAAAAGATGATTTTTTTCTTTAACAAAAAGTTGGATTCCACGACCTGTGGCTCGTAAAATAGCCAGACTGCTGGTAACGTTCTAAAGGTCAGAGATGAACAAGAATGACCGAAGGCACTGCTCTAGGACATGACACGCATGGGTGACTGGTCAACATGCCCACATCAGCACGTGTAAAACACATGCGTGATGGATAAGCACGGCCTGTTTCATGTGAACCACACACCTGACAGGTAAACTGCCACACCACCTCACATGATATGCATGTATGACAGGTAAGCAGGGCCCCACCACCTCATGTGAACTGTCGCCGTTGTTAACTATCCTCGACTGTTGGGAAATCATGAATGTTGTGCCGAGTTGTTATGGAGACCCCAGAGTGCAGACAGGGTTTTCTGCTTTGGAGAAGCATATCGCCAAGTCTGTCTTCTGAGGTCCTCTGGGTGGGTTTCAGACGCCACCCTTTTGGCTAGCAGTCACAGGACCATGATGGTCATAAGCTTGCTTCCTAATTACATTCTGTTGCCCGTTGCCCTAACACCGGTGTACCCTTGAACACACCGCAGTTATGTAAGCTGTTGTCAATAAAGCTGCTGGATTCTGTTTTCCAGACGAAAATGACCACTTCGGACCTATGCTCTTATTCACTGTTTCCATGTTTGTGAAAGGCAAAACAATAGAGTCAAATCAAACCCGATTCCGACTCACTAGAGCCCATATAGGGCAGTGTGGGTACCGCCCCAAGGCTGTCATCGGCACAGAAGCAGACTGCCAAATCTTTCTTGGGGATTTGAACCACCGACCTTTGAGTCTGCTGCCAGTGCTCCTTTAAGGAAACAAAGGAAAACTCCAAGGCAACGCGCTGCTATCACGTTGAGCTATAATCACAGCAAGCCTGTGGGACGGGGTAGAACTGTTCCTGTGCTCCTGTTAAGGACACAGGCAGCGGAATCTCCCCCCAAAGGAGCTGCTGATGGGTTTGAACCAACGTCTTTGCTTCACTCTTAGCAACTCTGTATAGGGTTTCTGGAGGAGCTCTGGTGGCGTAATGATTACAAATCGGGCTGTGAGCCTCAAGGTCAGCAGTTCCACAGGAGAAAACTGCGTCTTTGTGCTCCCGTAAAGATTTACAGCCTCGGAAATCCTAGACCCTGGATAGGGTGGTTATGAGTCGGACCCGACTCCACGGCACAGAACCAACCACAGGGTTTCTGAGGAGGAGTTAGCAGTCCAGTGCCTTCTCCTACAGCCACACAGGGCTCCTAGCGTGTGAGGAGGGCGCTCCCTGGGGCTCAGAGGCTCGTGGAAACCCACCCCAACGGGGAGCCTTCCCAGGCTGGGCTCCAGGGAAGCTTCCAGAAGAAGCCGGAGTCGAGCAGGACCAGCCAAGGAGAAGAGGAGGGGCATGCTGGGGAACTGTTCATATGTCACACACGCAATTCACAGGAGGTGGTGAGGCCGTGCTTACAAGCCACACACATGGGCCCTGCAGGCACTTTCAGTACCGGAGTTCCCCTGGCAGCCCCGAGACCCACAAAGGCCTGCTCCTAGGTGGGCGAGCTCTGGGAGCATGGGAGGGCCCGGGGAGAAGGCATTCTCAGAGGATAGGAGGTTAAGCGGGAGGAAGGGAGGGAACGCCCGGCGGGCTGCTGCAGAGAGTCACAGCATACACACGGGGTCACCGGGTCGTACACCCGGCTCTGCCCCCTCCAGCCGGGAGAGTGGGGACGCCTAGTGTTACCCCTCCAGCCAGCAGCCTCTCGGCTTACTCAGTTCTCTTCCGGTGCCTTCTAGGTCTGTAGAGGCGCTCCCCGAACATTGCTCTCACAGATGAGGCCGGCCACGCACCCACCCGGACGCCTGCCTACGCACCGCATGCACGAGGATGACGCACCCGTACGGGCGCCTGTCTACGTCCCGGCGCGTAAGGAGGCCTACGCACCCGCACGTACTGCGGTCTGCGCACTTGCCCCTCTGTCTCACGCACCCGCACGCATGACGGCCTACGCAGCTGTGTACGTCTGTCTGTGCACCCGCACGTACGTTTACAAAGCCACACGTACAGCGGTCTTCCCGTCTGCCTGCCTGTCGGTCTACGCACCTGCACCGACAGCTATTTATTTGCACACCGATCCCGCGAGTTCTGGTGTGGCGCTGTGGAGTAATGTGCCAGATTGCAAGGTCGCTGGTTCAAGCTCACCAGGTGCTCCTTGGAAACCCTATACAGGGTCGGGATGGGTCAGAACCGACTGGACGCCACTCAACAGCCCCACCACCACTTATCTCTAGGTCTAAAGTTTATTTTTCATATCTCGTCCCCAATTACTTGCATACTAAATATTAAATAGCTTCTTTCGTCATTACTGTGTAATTAAAATTTTTTATAGATCAGCATTTGTTGTTGTTAAGTGCTGTGGAGTCGGTTCTGACCCATAGCGACCCTGTATAGGGTTTCCGAGGAGTGATTGGTGAGCTTGAACCGCCGACCTTGAAGTTCAAATAGCTTTGTAATCTGGCGCATTAACCCACAACGCCACACCATAGCTACTATTAAATCTTGACAAAAACACATTTGGGCTTCATATATAAATGCCTCCCCGATTGTCTTGCTAGACTAGCTGGGCCTCCTACAGCTGAGAGAGGACCTGTAAAGTGGTTGGGAGCCACAGCCCCTACAAACTCTTAGGATGAATTCTCTTTGATGCCTCTTTAGAATTCACCAGAATGAGAAAATCTATTTTGGGATTAAACTGAAATACAAAACATGAGTAACACTTACTTGATGACTGTGATGAAACTTGGACAGATTTGTTTTCTAGTTCCCTGATAATCTATACAAGGGGCTTCAAAACGTCTTTAGAAAAGGATGATTATCTTTTAATTCCCTTTTTTACCCCAAAACACTGTTGAAGTCGTCGTTAACCCCACCCCACCCCCCTCCCATCTAGACAATCAGAAAGATTTTTGGGGCACAATGACATCCTTGTCATTTTGGACACAACATGGTGAAACGAAGCACAAAGCAGCACTTACTTTGGTATCGATGGCAGGGCCCGTTCACCTTCTGGAACAAAGAGAGAAAGAGACGTGAGTTTCCTCGCACGGCAGCCTCCTAGTCCGATGCATGGGCAGTGACCCTGTAAAGAAAGCTGCCATGCTGCCTGCCCACTCAGATTTCAGAGTTGTGTTTTCAACATTGTTAACATATGTACTCTGTCAGTACATACTTGTTACATGCTAACCTAACCTAGAGGAGAGTTCCACATTGATAAGTCAGTGAAAGATTTTTTCACAAGAAACGAGAGAGATGAATAACCTCTCATGGTGAAAGCCAGAATTCTTCCTTAGGGATAGAGCACTGTGCATTTAGATAAAGATGCTCACTGGAAACCATTCCGAAATTTGTGCCAGAAGCAGAGAGACGCACACAGAGCTGATGCGACAGAGAAGGAGGGGGAGGGCCTGCCCCATGGGGCAGCACCAACACGGCCCATTCTGCTGGGCACAGTGCCCAGCAGGGGCTAGTCCAGTCACAGTGCAGCTCAGGACTTTTGTTCAGTGGTTCAAGGAGGCTCTCTTCCCGCCTTCCTTTATGAACTGGGACATGAAGAACACTCTGTGCTCCTCTTAAAACTCTGGATCCATCTAATAGCCTCTAAGCGATCTTCTACTTCATCACTAAGCTATAATACTACCAGGCCAACCTCCCAAAAATTATAAGTTCACCTGTCATTTCCCTGCTTAGATCCTTAGCGTCTCTGAGAATGTAATCTAGTACCCCAACCAACCCCGTTCCCACGAGCACAGACACCAAGCTCGCCTCCATTTGGGAGGCTATGTGACTTGGGTGGGCCAAGGAAGGACCCGTTTCTACTTATTTCTGTGACCACAGGCAACTCGGTAACGTCCACGCATGTAACACACGTGTCCACAGGCCCTTTCTCCTTGCATTTGTCCTCAACGTGGTTCATTCCATCCTCCTGCCGCCACCAGCCCACAGCTGAAGTGCCCCTTGTCAAGGTCATCTTGACCTCCCTTCCTAAACTCAAGAGTTCCCTTCTTACCAACCCTGAACACAGGCAAGGAAAGTGGTCTCTTTCAGAGCAGAGCGCCCACCTGCATGTCCAGACCTGACCTCACATTCAGCTTTCCCTTCACCTCACAGGGCCCACCTTAGTCTCCCATCTGCATATGTTCCTGGGCTGTCTGGCTGTCTGGAGAGATGAGCCTCCTGGTGGGAAGACCACGTCCCCCGTCTTTCTGGCTGTATTGCAGCACCACCTCCACTGGGGAACCTTGCCGGAGCACCCGGCTTTCATTTCAATGGCCTTTCACATGCCTTTGCGGCACTAACAGAGCCATACATCACCACCTGAACCAGCCGGGGCACTTGAGAGTAAAGTTCAATTTACCAAATGCACCCCAACACTGCACCAAAGCACAGCACAATTGCTGTTGGCAAATGAATCGATGCATCAGCCTGGACTCCAAGCAGTTATCTTTCTGAACAACCACTCGCTCTTCCAAAAAAACCGACTGCCCCTTACTGGCAAGAAGAGTTGATGAAGCAGCCCAAGGGATCTAGAGCTCAATGCAATGGACACAACACGCCACAGGCAGGTGGGTGGTCCCAGTGCCCTCACTCACTAACTTTCTGGACACCATGAAGACCAAATCTGGAATCACAAAGGAGCCCACAGATGAACTGATGAGCTCATGAACCCCCGAGCAGCCTCTTCCCACCCTGGTCCAACACTGTCAATGAGCAATGCGCCTTTTCACGTAGCCCAGGAGTGACTTCTGTGTATACACCTTAATGTCAAATGGCAGCTCTTGCTGCTAACGGGCATCCGTACCAATGTCTCACTTGGTGAGGTGCCCCTTTCGAATCTGTCTGAATTGTACTTAGTGCGCTGGCAGACCACTTGACCAAAAGAGACAGCACTCTTTACTGCACGTGTGACGTGGTTTCCTGTCTGTACTGAAATGGATCAGTTGTGTCCTCCGCATGTCCTAGGTCTCTGTCACATGGTGAGGCACACCACGCTGTGCATGGCATTCTTCATCCTTCCGCTCGTGGGAGTCTCCCATTGAAGACTGGTAAACTCATGCCTCTACACAGTACTTTACTGTAATTAACAATGAAATCCTAGCAGTTAGGGATGGGTTAAGTAACAAGCAACCATGAAGACGCAAGACCGTGCATCCACTCTGTGGTGGGACTTGGTCCAGGATATTGGGCTGGTGGCACTTAGGATGGTGCCCCCAATACATATCACTTAAAAGAATACTTCAGTGAGGAAAAAACAGCAATGAAGCCG